TTCAACTAACCAGTTATTCTACTTGAAGTAGCAAAAAAAACTTATAATGCTACAAATCAGGTTTCAATACCTTTGGTGAGCAAAGCACAGATAGTCCTTTCTGAAGCTTTGCGCATAACAACATAATGACATTATTTCACTTACTTGAATAGTTAGAATATTCATAAACCATAATAATTGAAACCATGAAATTGAACATACTTAAATTAAGTGAAAATAAAAATGCAAAATCATAATGGCAATATTTCAATCACTGATACTATAAGTGATAGTTTGTTAGTTGGAAACACACATTTTGATTAGTTGGTTATTTTAGTGTCATTAATTGATTTAATCATGATTTTGATTACTGGATAGATGGAATAATTGAAAATCATATTAATCAGAAACACTAGTTGCTTATTTTATGTGAAATTGATGTACTATACTCAATGGTAATCAATTAATTGAGTTTATTTCCAAACTCTACTTAAACGCACAGCCTTATTGAATAGGTTGTTGTCTCTGTATAGTACTATTTAATTTAGTAGCCATGTTTAGTTTCCCAGTATCATCACTATATATAAAGGATTTTAGCTACTTCAGTTATAAATCCAGTTACTTCTTATTTAAAGCATGATTTGTAATTCCTAAAAGCATTTTTTTATGGGTGTATTCCCAATGTAAAAAAGATTTGGCTCAATAATACAATATCTTGATAAAAAAGAATTTATGGGAATGGAATAAAGATTTGTAAGTTCGAGCAACTATGAATTTTCATTCATTAAATGTAAATGTTTCTAATCATCTTTGATAACATTCCTGGTCTGAATTTTTTTAAGAGTTTGGGTATAGTTCTAGGCATCAAAAACATTGAAGATGTGGTAATGAAAAACACATTTAAGTTTGTCTTAATAATAGTTATAATTTTTGGCATACTCAATAATAGGTTGTCCCTCACGTTACGGATGCTATCCAGGAATGGGTAGAGAGAGTTGCCCAAGTAGCAGTGACACCAGATGGCCAAACACCAGATGTCTGTACCATAGAAGTAAGTTATGTGATGTTTTATTTCAGCATTTAAACTATTTTCTACTGTTTAAGCAGGTTTTAATTTTATAAATTTATTGGTTCAATGTGTTTACATAATTTGAAGACAAGATGCCAAAGTTAGGGGTCCAGAGGTGAATCCCTTGGTTAAATGAATCATTAACTTTATAATGTTTTCCTAAGATTGAACTAACAACATAAATTTTTCAAAATATACTTCAGTGATGGGTTTTATTATTTTGTCTAATATTTGACGTTGAAGTTGGTGAAGTACCAAGTTGCCAATTGCACTTTCTTTACCACATGCACTTTTACCTTATGGTTTAACTCTTTTATGCTGAGGTACTGCAGTCCAATGCAGTTATTGTATGATTTGTCTTATTGTGAAAAAAATAAAAAAGGATAAAATAGTTTAAAAACTTCAATACTTTTTACAGTGTATGTAGCTTCTGCTAAGAAAATCTTTTATAGTATTTATTTGCATTTGCAACTTTGAAAAATTCTAACAGATTTCATTGTAATACTATTTTATGAAACAATGGAAAATGCTTTTCTTCATTGTTGATTTTAATTTCTGATTTATTTTTTTTCCTCCTGTATTATTTTAAAACTTTCCTTTATAGTTTTATTGACACTGTAAAATTTATTTGAAAAACATAGTTTCACTGTATAATCACTTGTGTACTATAAAAATAATGTTTTTACGATACCCAAATTATAAGCAACCAGCTTTTTTTAAATTGTTAGTCAGCATATAATATAACATATATAAGCAGTTCATTAATTGTTTTAATATGCACAGTTACATCAAATATCAAAACTCAAGTAAAAATTGTGATTAACTATTTCAGCAATTAATTCAGATGTTTAATCATTGATATTATGTAACATTTTAGTGTAATTTACAGGAAGGAAATGTTCAGACTTTCATTTCTGCACAGCTCTGAGTCTTTATAATCTTTCTTTTCATCCAAAAGCACTGGTTTATATTTGCTAAGAAACTATCATCCCTTGAGAATACAATTAAACATGTTTTGTTTCTCACATAATTTTCATTCTCTTTCACTGGTTTCATTATTACACCCCCTGTTCCCACTTACTAAAATCCCAACTGCTAATAAAGCTTGGCTTTTAAAGTAGCTATATGAAATGTTTGAATACCATTGGATAGAGCAGATTAGGAACTATTTACATCAGTATAGTGATTAATGTAGTTTGAGAAATAAATTACTCTTTGATGGGAAAACTTTACTTTCTCTTACTTTTATCAGATGCACACACACACACATATTTTTATTGAATTTCTAAAATTGTTAATTTTTCAGTGGTGTTAAAATTGACAACTTAACTTATTTCATATAAGGTTTTTTCTATAATTCTTTTTATATGTGTACCTAGTGCTCAACAAACAACTCAGTCAAGTTCAGACCGGAGTGTTTGGTGGAGTTTGCTAATCAATTAACATAATTTATTATTTTCATGAGTTGACTACAAACACTGTTCCTATTGATCAGGGAAACTGGGAAGAGTTTGTGAATTTCATATGATTCTGTTATTCCTCTAGGAAAGGATGGCAAAAAATTGTCATTAATGCCAAGAAATTGCAATCAGGTTAATTCTGGCAATATTCATATTATATGTATAAACATAGTTTTATGTACATTGATCTTTTTGTTTAATATTAATTTTCATAAAGTAACAAAGCAGCAGTAAAAGATTTATGTAAACAGTAGCTAGGTTCTTACTCAAACAGGGCATTAGAGTTCTGAAAAAGACTTTCTCATTTTCCTAAAACTATCTCTTGGAAGATCATTTTACCACAGTGTAAAATCCCTTAACTCTTTTGGCACAGGCTCGGTCCTTGGAACTGACTTTGTAACCGTTTTGTACTTATTATAGTTTTCATGCTATAACTTTTAAATCAGTAAGCAAATGTTAACGAAATTTGGCAGTTTATTAGTAAACATCACAATGCTTTCATGCACAAAGTATCAAATTTTTTTTATTAAGTTTTAAGGTATGTAAAGCAATGTTTCTCTCATGCCTTTTTTTTTCTTTTCATATCTTGCTTATCTATCATGCAAAGTAATTTTCTTCTTAACATTAAAAATATTTTCATGCATCAGAAAATTTCGAAATATTACGTGCAAAATCTTTATACTGTTGAGAAAAATAAAACGTTTCTTAAGAAAAACTTTATATTTTATCTGTTATTTTCAGTAATTAATCTCTGTATGGATTTGGTAGATTTGACTGATCTCGCAACCACCATCAAAGATTAGGAAATAAATATAAATTATGCCTCTCTCATTCTAGAATGA